CTTTACCGTCCTGCAGACCCTACAGAGCAAGACAAGCCAAATATATTCTGGGTACTCTTTAAACACACCAGTAATAGACCGAATCACATTTTACCGCTGGGATTTCTTAAGTGTCCAACCGTACAGCTGTCGTTATTTTACAGCTTTTGCAAATTTAACTTCCTTTTTTGAGCTTTGTGTAGGCATATGCTTAAGCATTTATATTCATAAGCACGTTCTACGTTGCCCATTTTTTTCTCCTCCCCCCCCTTCTTTTTATGTGGCCTTGGAATAGTTAAAAATGTATATGAGGCCAACATATGGCTTGCTCACAACACTACATAGCCGCATCTCTCTCCTTTCACGCCCTACTCAGAATTCTAAGTGGAACAAAAGGAAAACGTGTCTGAGAGTAGAGAGACAACTTGTGCCAAGAATCACAGTCACAGGGTAAATAACCTTGTTTTCCCCTTCATCAGTGGCCGCTATCAAGCCCCCGTTCCTGGAAGGTGGCCAACAGTCTGTCTGGTGGAGGGCGCTGCTAATTAGAGACAGCCCATAAACCTCTCTGTCAAAGAGGGCATGTGACCTTCCCTTCAAGTCTAAACAATAAAGCTGGCAAGCTGCAGGCTGTACTCAACACTGGCTGCCCCACAGATTCCCTAAATAGGAACAGGATGAAGGCTAGGCTTAAGAGGTTACCATAGCTCTGCTCTCACACTTTGAGGAATCGCTCACTCTACTTCCCCATATAACGTTTCAATTACTCTCTTCAATCTATTTGGAGGAGAGCAGCTTGTAGAGAGAACTCATTGTCTAATCTAAATGAGGAAGCAATTATTACTTGCTGCAGATTAACGTGCTTTCGGACTGCTGGGTCAAAGATCAGCCTGATGTCATGTAACCTTATTTTGTACTTGGGAAGATCTACCCTTTTAATGGCAATTATTTAGTCCTGTTTTTCTGAAACCTTTTCTTTTTCTCTTACTCCTCCACCCCTCATCTTCAATATCCTCTTTGGTTTTAGAATTTGTTATTGTAAAGACCACAACTACTTTTGTAGACTGCTTAACTTTTAACATTTGTGTGGGTATAGGCATCTTTTCAGAATACAGTAAAACAGAGTTCTGTCTTTCCTTTGTCTAATTTACCTCCCTGGGAGCCCCCTTGCTAGCTTTAATTTTATACAACATGTTGTAAACTATAAATAACATACTTCTGCTTGCCTAAAACATAACATATGGAAACTGTCGCCTGCTATATACCCTAACTGTACTTGCTTTCAACTTAAAGACCGAATAGTTAATCTCCTGTGTAAAAAGGCATTTGGCCTTTGGTGTGTTTTATTAGTTGAAACGCAGTGTGGAACAACACACGGAATTCCTCGTGTTGTGAACAGTACATGAAAGCGTTTACAAGGTGTGGTTTGAAGGAAGGAAGGCACAGGGCAAAATACTGGTGGACGGAAAGCAATCCTGAGATTACTCCTCCCATGTGAGCTACATCCTCTCTTCAAACCCTTTCTCTTGGATAATAAATGATGGTAAATGATGTCTTTTTCAATTCCATTTTAAAGCATTCTCCTCTTACAAAGCTTGGCCAAGTGCCAAATCTATTACTGCCTAAAAAACCTGATTCCATTAATTTTCAGATAACCTGAAGGTTCTGATCTGAATAAATGTATGGCAGAGTCACTTCTATGTTGTTTTCAGGTATACTGTGATTTCCAGGGTATCTATGTACAATAGAATTAACAGTATGAAGTCACAATGATAAGTTTTGAAGGAGGGATAGCTTCTCAAAGGCTGAACACAAGCTGGTACAAAATGGCATCTCAACTGAGAGTATAAGGGGCATTGGAAGCCTCATAGAGTACAATTCTTTTTCCAAAACATGTGCCACAATGTTTCCTTTCAGTAAATTTGTAAAATCTAAGATGATAGTTTCTACATATTGAATTAGTCAAATGATTTTATATCTTGAAATTGTATTTCTCTTAATTTAAGATAGCTTGGCTAGGCTGTAGTATCTAGACATTTGGTCAAACACTAATCTAGATGATCCTACGGAGTTTTTTTTTTTTTTTAATTTTATTTTATGAGATGAACGCTGAAGTAGACAGAGTAAAAAAGATTACTCTCTGGGGCTGGGGATTTAGCTCAGCGGCATAAGCACCTGCCTTGCAAGCAGGCGGTCCTGAGTTCAATCCCCGGTACCAATAAGATTACTTTGTATAAGGGTTGAGGGCCTTATCTAGTCGATCAAAGAGGGAATTGTGAATTCTGCCTGCAAAAATCCACTCTTCAGTGGGTTTCCAGCCTACTGACCTACCACACCAATTCTGGAGTTGTCAGCCTCATAATTATATAAGCCAGTTCCTTACAATAAAACTTTTCCTGGCTCTGTTTTATCTGGAGGACCCTGACAAATCCAGGTATCTACTGTGGGCTCCAGGCACAAACACAATCTCCTGTAGCCTTCAATTTTAGAATAACTTAACTTGTGGCATTGATGAGGGAGAAATCTGCTCATCTAACCCAACCTGTTTCCCAGTTTTGGGGGATAGCATCATGTCAAAACACAAGAGAATTCAGCCAGATATTCTAACTGGGTTTCATCATCCTCTCTCACTTGTCTTTTCTAAATCTCAGCAATTGGAAAATAAACAAAAAACAAACTTTTCCAAAGCTGATATACAAAAGCATCTGTTCCTGTTCTTCATCTGCCGTCTTTTTTTTAGGCTTCTCTTCTGTTAAGTATTTCTCAAAGATTACAGTTGAAAATATAAGAAACTAGGGGCTGGGGATTTAGCTCAGCGGCATAAGCGCCTGCCTTGTAAGCAGGAAGTCGTGAGTTCGATCCCTGGTACCGATAAAAAGCAAAAAGACAAAAAAAAAAAAAAATAAATAAACTTTTGATAGTCTTAATGGGACTCAAAGTTAAATGTCACTTTGGGCAATCTGCAAAGCTATTAAAAGTATAATCTTTTAAATCTTGAATGTAAGTAGAAAAACAGTATAATCTTTAAGAAATCCTGTCCCAAATAAAAGTCATGCCCTTAGCTACCCACGGTGAAACATTATGATGGCTTGAAAGCTGCAGGAGCTGTGAAAGGGTTAGATTCAGGATGTATTCTGCAGAGAGTCAGAGGACCTACTAATGTATTTGGATGTTAAGAGGTAAAACAGAGAACTAAGAGGGGCCAAGGGATATAGCTCAGTGGCACAATGCTTACCTGGCATGCTTAAGGTTGTGAGTTTGATCCCCAATACCCCCCCACCTGCAAAAACAACACCCCCCCAATGAGGATTAAAAAACAGGAAACACTGATATGATAATGGTGAATTTGTGTTTTTAAAAGCAAGAATTAAGGATCAGGGGTTTAGCTTAGTGTAATTTAAAAAATTACAAAGCTAGATCAAAAAGTGTTTCAAGGGTAGACTATTAATATGCAAGTAGAATGTGAATCATGTCTGGCAAGCATGAGGTTCTCAGTTCAATTCTCAGTCCCCACCTTTCCCCCTAAAAGTAAGAATTAGTGGTGTATATTTTTGTAATCCCAGCACCCAGGAGGCTGAGGCAAGAGAATTTCCACAAGTTCAGGGCCAGCATCAACTATGTAGTTAGGTTCAAAGTGAGCCTGGACTACATAATGAGACTCTGCATCAAAAAACTGAAAACAAAATAAAACCTAAATAAATAAATAAATAAAAGCAGTAATTATTTAATTAGTTCTATCCTCTTTGGATCTAGACATTACACAGAAGTATAACAGGCGCTACTTTTTAGCACAGTTTTTTAGTAACCTACAATTAGAATTGTCAATCTTGTGCTTTAAAATTTCAATTCAAAGCGTTCTCTTTTAAAAAGCAATTTAGTTGGCCATGATGGTGCATGCATGTAATCCCACCATTTGGGAGGCTGAGGCAAGAGGATCACTGTAAATCTGAGGTCAACCTGGGCTACAGAGTGAGTTCAAGGACAGCCTGAACTACATAGCAAAACCTGTCTCCAAAAGACCAAAAATTAATGAATTATTCAATGAATTAAAGTAAAAAATAATTTTAAAAATTACAAAACTAGATCAAAAAGTGTTTCAAGGGTAGACTATTAATATGTAAGTAGAATGTGAATCAGCCTCTGACATGATTTTTGTTCCATAAATCTTTTTTAACAATCAGGAACCACTTCAAGAAACAATAAGACACTGAAAAAAAATGCTGCAACTCAGGTATTCACTGTATTCTTTTAAATTTTTATTTTAATTTCTAACCTCTTTGGATCATCACAAGGATATACCTTATGATAAAAATAAAAATATAAGTACACTTTAAATGCTATCTGGAAACACTTAAATATACATATCATAATGAAATAACACAATGAAACATTTTTAAACACAGGATTTCTCCCTGAAGCTTAAATGTGAGGCACACAGACGTCTGACTTTCAAACAGATGGAAGCTCAGAACATTTCCAGGATACATAAATCTGAATTTTGTGTTGTATTTTATGCCTGAGACAGCTAACCAATCAATCAATGTCTAGGGTTTCTGTACACATTGTTTTTCCTGTCTCCCCTTTCTAATATCCAAATTTAACAATTCAGTATTTTTTCTGTAGTCCTTGGGATTTTTTTTTTTTTTTTTTTTTTTTTTTTGTCTGTGTGGTGCTGGGATGGGACTCCACTGCCTTCTGCACTCAAGGCAAGAACTCAACCACTGAGCCACATTCCTAGCTGTCTTCTGCAGTGTTCTAGATAAGCTATACATACGCTTTTAATAATTTGCTCTGTGATTTGTAATCTTAAGTGCGTGTATGCTATATACTACTTAATCAAGATATAATCAATTAATAACTCACAGAATCCATAATTGTTCTGACCCTTAAAAGAGAAATACGGGGCTGGGATTTAGCTCAGCAGCATAAGCGCCTGCCTTGCAAGCAGGCAGTCATGAGTTCCATCCCTGGTACTGGTAAAAATTCAAAAAAAAAAAAAAAAAAGGGAAAAAAAATACAAATTGTCACTAATAAATGAGTTTATTTTATTTTCAAAAAAATACACTTTTAAAATTAACCCATATACTGGGCTAAAAGATAGCTTTTACAAAGAGAGTAAAATTTTGTAAAATTATCTTCTCTTACCTATTAAAGTACATAGATAAAAAAGCTGTTAGAAGAGAAAATGTTAAGCTATTGGTCAATGTTTAAATAGGGCTAATACACATTAAATCTTCAGAATACCACTAAAAGGCTAAACATTAAAAACAGAGGAACAAAAGCTCTATTTTCCTTTCAGAAAACTTTAATGTTAAATGATATTTACTAAGAAATACATACTGCATATTACAATAGAAATGATCTCAAAAATTACTTTTCTCACAAATAAATCAACCTACACAGGAGAAAGCATAGCAAATTGCTTTTAGATATATATTAACTCCTTTTTCCTGACAGAATTTAGCCCATTCCAATTATAAAGCACAAATTACTTATATTTAATATAAGATAGTATATATTTTAATAACATAAAATTCAAGCACTTTCCAAAAGAACAAACTACATGTTATTTTAAGAAAGAAAGAAAACAAATTTATCTAACCAATGTTTTACAGAAATTTACATACTTTAACACTGTAGAACTCTTTGGTGGTGACACATGGAAAACAATCCCTGAAAACATTTTAATAATTTTGTTCCATCAACCAATATAGTCAAGTATTTATAGTCAGTAATGGTGGCAGTATCATTTCTTAGCCAAATACACATATATACAATGAGGTGTATATAAGGATCTTATGTAGGATATAGGTGGTTAGCATAATTAATTACTTAGCAATGGACTTATAGCTAATGCTTTTTTATACTGCAGAAAATGAATACAGTACACTAGAATAAGAATAGGTCAATTATTACTTCTAAGGGAAATAGTTAAGTACTCATGAACAAGTTGAATAAATACACAGTTTAAAAAAAATACCAGCTACAATTCCTGGGTAATTTCCAACAGCTAGCAAAATAGTGCTCTAAGTCAAGTGGCCTTGTACATCTAAGGCCCTGCCACTAAGTGGTGGTGGGGAAAAGCAAGGCACTCTGGTCTATGGCAAATGTACATCTTTTAAAATCAGTAGACCTAAATGCAGAGAAACATAAAAAGACCTATTCCACCTTAAAAGAAATACAAAAGTATAAACTTATTACATAAAGTTCAAAGGCTATGCTAAAACACAGTAAGAAAACAATACCGAAATTTAAGAAATGTAAAACAAGAGACAATATGAGAGAACACGATGGTATCAATTACATAAGGACGTCAATAGCAGAAATATATCAGAAAGATTTAAAAGGAGCATGTTACATGATATGCACTGCTTCTTTGCGAGCGAGGCGGTTGGTAACGAAGCATCTTATTTCTAAGAGATAAACAGTTCTTAGTGTGTGTGTCTTGGGGACTGAACCCAGGGCCTTATTTATGCTAAGCACATGTTCTGCCACTGAGTTACATTCCTAGCTGCAAAGGATAGGTTTAATGCTAACAGTAATTAGAACTGAAAAAGGTAAAATGATGCCAGTTGGCAGCCAAAGACACTGTTTTTTGGTTGTTGTTGTTGTTGTTGTTGTTTTTTAAACAGACACTGTTTTTGATACAAAATGACTTACATGACCTGACCAGGCAATTCAAAATAACACTGCCTCTAAAAGTCTGTAGCAAAAGCTCCCATGATGTAGCATTTCTATGGAAGTCCAGTACCAGGCAATATAAATAAAATTTGCTTCCAAACATTTATAATTAGAATTCATAAGAGTTTAGAATAAAACTAGAGAGTCCTTCTAGAAATGAAAAAGCTAGTTAGTTAAGTTAAAGTAGATGGAGATACTCATAGAATTAAACTCTGAGAGAAAAAAGGGGAACAAGGTTTTATTTGGGCTTATCTATCAAAAATGTGAGATAGCTTTACAGTTCAAGATTTTCAAATTTCTTGGATTAATAAATGATATTTCTAATAGTTTCTGATACGTAGGATTAATGATGTCTGTATTTGCATTGGCACTCATATTCAGGGAATCATCTCAGCCAGAAAAAGATTCAAATGATTCTAGTTAATGCCAGATTTATAAACCAGCAGTATATAACAATGACAAGCTTGTGAATGGATTGGCTGTTGGATAATTTTATGAATTAAAAGAGACCTAACTGTTATACTGTTCTCTGATTCCATTCCACAAAAGCTACTACCATTTTTACAAACAGAAAATGTAATTGACGTCGATAAATACACTGTTTAACTATATTGTACAGCTAAATACAGAACACTAGTTAATATTGAAAGTAACTTTTGATTTGTAAAGAAGTTAATTTAAAAAGTTCAAGTTGAATAATTAATTGTATTTTAATATTATAAACCCAATAGATTTAATAAATGAAACCTACAAGAAAGGAGATATTTTTCAAGGCATAAATGTGACACGTCAGAATATGACTTTAATACAGTGTCAATAAAATTTAAAGGCAATGTAGAGACATAAAATAAGTAAACAATTTTCAAGTGTGCAAAAATAGATAGGAAAGTGCTATGTGGATACCAGCTTTTCAGTTGTTTTCAGTAGGGGCTGGGGATTTGGCTTAGCTGCACAGCACCTGCCAGACAAGCCTGAGGTTATAAGTTTGATCCCCGGCACCAAAAAAAAAAAAAAAAAAAAAAATCCATATACAAAATCTTTCAGTTAAAGGTGAAAAAAGTAAAAGTGTTATAAAAGTAAAAATGTAAAGAATAACATACTTTACTATCTTCGTGTATGTGTTATGATATCACTGTCTCATCAGAGAGGCTTATTTAGTTACTGTTCTCATGTGACCAGATACAACACAGCTAGAGGCAAACTCAGTGTAACACTACGGAGGCTGACACATTCTAAACAGAGTGAGACTTATCAAGTATATAGCGGGGTCTGTGTAACATGAGTTCTATAATTTTGGGAAAGTTAGTACACCTTGTATGAATACCTTTGTTAGTCAATATTTAAAAGTAATTGTTAAAGAAATAAAAATATTTAAATTCACGAAACTAAATCTTATCATTGCCACAATGCAAGGAATTACTGTAATCTTTCTCGAAGATAACATGTTAGAAAATGAAGTTGGTTTATTAACTTTATTTGTTTTAGGATACTTGAAGTAGGTGCCTAAAAATACACCTGTGGTCTCTTCTTCACCTTATACTTTAGTGAACCATACCGCACCTGAAGAAAAAAAGTGTTGTTATTAAGAATCAGATTGATTACTTTTTAATTAAGATACAATTTAATGATTCGTAATTATAGTAACTTTCTGATCTTTTTGATAGAATTATCTCATAAGCATATACAAAATGGCCTTATGGACATACTCATTAAAATGTGGTTGATAATATGTTGAATATATATAGCAGATTATCACTAATAAATCATTAACTATTATTGCTTATGGATTAACCTTTGTTATTTAATCATTATGTAGGGCTGGTTGAAAGCAAAACTATGCAAATTTTGTTATTAGCTTTCCTTGTTTATGCATGGGGCAGGCCTGGTTGTTCATGGTAAGTGTGGCTTGCTATGTGGGAATGACATTTTCTGCTAAATAATAGAGGACTTAAATTTGACGTATCAGAATATATCTGGGCTAATGAAGATTTTAAAATATAAATGCTTCTCTACAATTCCAACCTTTCATTTATGGATCATTACCCTACATGATAATGCATCAGGGAAATCCCTGAATATTAATCTCTTAGCAAGACAACTCTCTACTTGACTAACCTCCTTTCGGCCTTTGATGGTTTTCACAGATTTCATGCTTTGTGATCTTCGAAGCCCTTTGCGTGTTAACATCTCATCATCTGAATATGGCCCATCCGCTTCTTCATCTGTTTTTTCATCTCCATCTTGCAGTGAAATTCCATAAGCTAAGAAAGTTGTCAAAAACAGCATGTTTTGATAAAAATATACCAGCCAGCACGAGCTCTTCACCCATCAGTCTGCAGTTCTCTGCATGTTTTGCATTTGTCCAGTGGTTGCTCTCTCCTCTGATCAGGAATGTGTTCCCTCCCTACCCTGTCATTAATCTCTATTGCTTCTACTATTCTAGATAAAGATCATAACTCATTTACTGACCATTCTGATTTTTATTATGCATTTATTAAAAACAATTTCTAAGAAATAACACATTCATCTTATTAAAACAAAAAATCAGTGAAGCTGGGTGTGGTGACTCACACCTGTAATCCTAGTACTCAGGAGGCTGAAGCAGGAGGATCACTGCAAGTTTGAGACTAGCTTGGGCTACAAAGTGAGCTCAAGGCAGGGCCAAACTGCATAGTGAGACCCTGTTTCAAAACGCACCCCCCCTCAAATATCAGTAATACAACTGGATATACTGTAGTCTCTTCTCATCCTTTTTACTCATGAATTCTACCTAGGCCAAGCATTAATATGTTTTACCCTGTCATTGTGCCTTTGACTTTAATTAGGGAGTAAAGTACCCCTCCCCCCCACCTCATGAGGCTGAATGAATCAAAGAACCAAAGAATTTGGTTCAGAGTGAACCAAAGAAGTTGCAAAGGGCTACAGCTCCGGATAGCGGAAGTTCACTGGTGTGTGTGTGGGGGGGATTGGGGATTTTACATCAACTCTGTTGCAACTGCTCAGATAAGAACCAGCCAGGCAGGCAATAGTAAGTGGAAACACCACAGGCTATGATGACAGATGCTAAATCAGGGAAGGCGGGCAGCATCAGGAAGGTCAGCGAGAGATCATGTGGGTGTGCTAACAGGCTGTTATGTGTAGCTGTAAAGACTTACTGCTGGCCAGTGTGCAAACATTCAGGCACTGGGTCACTGTACAGAAGTCAGAGTATCCTGAGGCTGCAACTCAGGGACAGGAACTCTCCTATCGCTGTAGCAGAGATTCTCCAATTGTAACAAATGGTAGCTTTACCTACAGAACTTGTCCACAGATTGCTAGGTTCCACCCTGAGAGCTGGTGAGTCAGCAGGTCTTGGGTGGGCTGAAATTTGCATCTCCAACAAGTCCCCAGGTGATGTTTACGGTAATGACCCCCATTTTAAAAACCAAGGCCTAAAGCTCCTGGGGAGAACAAGATGGGGACAATTCTAAGGCGCCTGAGTAGTTCTGGGAAAGTTATAAAAACAGGGATAAGGTTGCAATGCCCTTAAATTTCAACTAATCCTTTAATAAAGGTAAGAAGCGTACATATTTATATCATCACGTGAGGAAAAAGGATTTCAAGCGTCAGGAAGAGACAGAAGACTCCTTGCATATCAAGAAAAATACACTGAATGAATGTTCATTAGTCTGCTCTCCCAGGACATGAATAATGAATAATTTGAGACTCACTAGAAAAACCACAAAGCTTTGTTAATAAGCTTCTTACTCCCATAATAATATAAACAACTTTAATTGTATATCAGGCAAGTACAGTTTTATGCTACCAGAATTTTAGGCTAGAAATTAAAAAGGATTTGGATGGCCAATCAGTCATCCTCTCTGCCAAGGGCTTTGTTTTACTACATCAGGCAAGAGTGTTTCTGGGGAGGGCCAGGGTAGCAGAGAAGCCTATCTGCTCAGGAAAACCAGAGGTCAGAGCGGTCAGGGCCAGAGGATGGGGTCTTGGTCCTGGGGAAAGGTCCCGATGCAACATTAAGTGAGAAAATATGTCAAGAAGAAGCAAACGGGCCGGGGATTTAGCTCAGTGGCATGGTGCCTGCAAGGTCCAGAGTTTGATTTCCAGTTAAAAAAAAAAAAGGAAAAGTATAATATAACCATTATATCTCATGAAAATGGGCTTTTAGGTAATTCAAAATTTTTTTCCTAATTTGCCAAATATTTATAAATTATCTTTTTTTTTTTTTGTCTTGTTTTTATCGGTACCAGGGATTGAACTCACGACTGCCTGCTTGCAAGGCAGGCGCTTATGCCGCTGAGCTAAATCCCCAGCCCCTATAAATTATCATTCTATAACTGAGCATAATAAACAAAAATATTTTGTTTTTAGGTTGTCATTTTCAGATTAGTTTTCTTTTTAAAAATTTTCTTTTATTTTTGTGGTGCTGGGGATTGAGTCCAAAGCCTTGCATAGGCCAGAAAAATAACTATATCTCCAGCACACATTATTTCTTCTTGCTGTTGCTCAGACAATATTCTTGATTCCAGTGTGGCTAAACATAGAATGAGAAAATTAAGAGTCAGAAATGAAGTAACTGTGATCAAAAAGTTCTTGGGGCTGGGGATTTAGCTCAGCGGCATAAGTGCCTGCCTTGTAAGCAGGCAGTCGCGAGTTCGATCCCTGGTACTGATAAAAAGGAAAAAGAAAAAAAAAGTTCTCCAAGGTTGGGGATGTGGCTCAGTGGTAGAGCTCTTGCCCTGCATGCACGAGGTCCTGTGTTCCAGCTCCAGCACCACAAAACAAAAAGCTCTCTGAGGCCAGGCATAGCACAACACTACTGTTCAATAAACATAGTCCTTGCTTTTCTCGGGAATCAGACTCATGACTTTGGCTTCCAGGTAGGCACTGTGCTGCTGAGCCTTATCCTAGGCCCAGTCCTTGCTGTTTTATTTGCCTCTCATTTCACATGATTAGGAATGGGAATTTCATTCAAAAGCTTATTTATACATTTTATTCTTTCTCTCTGTCCTAATTTCAGCTTGTACTGGGAATCAAACCCAAGACCTTCTGCTTGCCAGGCAGGCACTTATGCTGCTGCGCTATATCCATGCCCCCCCCGCAAAGTTTTAACTTTCTAATTTTAATCTCAGAAAAAGTGATGAGTTCTTTTTTTTTGTTTTGTTTTGTTTTTTTGTCTTTTTATTGGTACTGGGGGATGGATTGATTCTTTACTCCACAAGTATTATAAAAATTCTATTATATATGAGTCTATGCACTACACCATGGAGATACAATGATGGAGAGGAAATGGCTGTCTTTTTCTACCCTCAAGGCTACAGATCAATAGAGGAAAGACCCTAAAGGGCAGCACACCACTCTGCTATATATAGAAGGTACGGATAAGGCTCTGTGGGAGCTCCAGGGTAGAATGGGAGACTGAACTCAACCCCGGGAAAGGGCTGGAGAAGAAACTTGAGTAGGAAGAACTGTCTCTAAGCTAAAATCCTGGAAGGCTCAGGATTCCACAGAACAAGGCGAGGGGAGCTATTGAATTTACATCTGAGAGAAATGGGGGGAGGGTATTGAAGCATTTTAAGCCGAAAGGTAATAAGAGTAGATTTGTGTTTGGAAAAAGATTTTTTCCCAGCACTGGGGATTCTAGTACCAGGGTCTTTGCATTGAGCTAAAAATTGTGGGCCTCAAACATAAGATCCTCCTTGCCTCCCAAATGCTGGACTTTCAGGCATCTGCCATCATGCTGGCTTGTAAATTTTGAGACAGGATCTCCCTAAATGGCGAAGCTGCCCATGGTAGGCTCGAATTTGCAATCTTCCTGACTCAGTCCCTCATAGTGCTGGGATGACAGAAATATACTAAGAGCCAAACACTGCTAACATTTTAGTAATTTCATTCCACACTTTCTTGGTATGCATATATTTTAAAACAATAACTTCACACTTGAGAGGCTGAGGCAGAAGGATCTGGGTGAGCTCAAGGTCACCTGAACTACTTGGCTAGACTCTGTCCCAAATAACTAAAAGGAGGAAAAAACCCTTCAAATACGTGGAACCATTTAATCATCTATAGGAGAGGACATAATGCATACACTGCTCTACTATTTTTTCCTTCACAATCTGGATATGTTTTTTAAGGCAGTAAGTACTGTATATACTGACATTTTTCATGCTAATAAACCATGTTTCTGCATAATAATTTATTCTAGGCATTAAATTTGTTCCAATATTTGTAGTTACAAATCAGATGAACTTTTTCTTCTTGTTCAGAGCCGGGGACTGAACTCATGTTAGGCAAGTACTCTATACTGAGCTGCATCCGCCGCCCAGGATGAACATTCTTGTACACATATCTTTGAACACTTGCCTGATTATTTACTTAGGATATAGTCCTAGCATTTCTTGCTGAGTTAAAGGAAGCAAATTTTGATTAATGCCAGATTATCATCTAGATGGGTTATTTTAAACTCATAAAATGTGCATGAGTTTGTTTCTTAATACGTTTGCTGTGGTGGTTTTAAAACATGTCCATGAATTCTTTGACATTCTTTTTCCCTTCTCATAAATCTCACAGGCCTTTTGTGCCTGCCGCAACAAACTATTACCAAGAATGTGGCAGAAATGATACAACTGCTAGTTTCTCATGGGGCACTGGCTCTGGGAGCCTTCAGCAGCCAGTGAGACCAACTTCCTTTTGAGACCATGTAGAGACCACACAGAGACACATGTGAGAGGCCCAGTCATTCTAGCCACAGGCTGTCTGGCTCCTGCACAGCCAGGGCCTGTGAGAGCTCTCAGCATAGACCATGGCTGCACGCCCAGCTGCAGCCTGACTGCAGCTGCAGAAGAACTGCTTTGGGGGATCTGCTCACAGCTCTCATTTGTGAGCAAGGCAAATGACAGGGATGGTCTTAAACCACTGTTTTAGGTCAGTTTATGTAGCAATAGATACATAACTGGAACAGTTACCAACAAAGAACACTACTGATTAAAATGTTTTCTTTGGATTTTGCAAAATTATTACTATTTAAATTTACTATTTCTCCATTATGTGAAGCTGAAAATCTTTTTCATGTGTTACTTGGTGGGTTGTACTCAGTAGAAGTGATGATAACTGGTTTGTAAGAGTTCCTAGATTACTGAAAATCTGAACAATTGGCCTGTAAAATATAATGGGAACAATTCTGACAGATTGTAATCTGTCTTTTTTATAGTGTGATTTTTTTTTCCCTTGTAGGGTAGTTTAACTTTGTAATGTAGAGAAACTTTTTTTTTTTTTTTGTCTTTTTCATTTTTATCGGTACCAGGGATTGAACTCACGACTGCCTGCTTGCAGGTGCTTATGCCGCTGAGCTAAATCTCCAGCCCCATGTAGAGAAACTTTTAGAGATGTTAGAGATCTTTCTAATGTTTGAGAAACTTTCATTATGTTGTCTAATTTTGATGTAAAGACTTAAGAAGGTTTATCTATCCTAAGGGGATAAAAATACAAACCAGAATTTCCTGCTGAAGGGGAAAAAACTCAGGGAAAAGAAAAAATATATAAATTTGTATATACCCAATTAAGATAGCTAAAATGATTGTGCTACTAATTCTACTAGCTCTTGGAACAAAACAGTTAACATTTGTAGAATTGGATCAATTTTGAAGGTTTGTGTCTGGTACTCTGAGGAACTCTTTTGAAGATCACTAGGTAAAATAACAACCTTAGGGGGGCTGGGGATTTAGCTCAGTGGCATAAGCACCTGCCTTGCAAGCAGGCAGTCATGAGTTCGATCCCTGGTACCGATAAAGACACACACACACACAAAATAACAACCTTAGTTATGGTCCTACTACCTTTTTTTTTAAATTGGTACTGGGGATTGAACTTACGACCACCTGCTTGCAAAGCAGGTGCTTATGCCGCTGAGCTAAATCCCCAGCCCTCTACCACCTTGTTTTGAGGGCTTATATTGTCATTGTTTTGGGAACTTTGCTATTGCTGTTTGTCTTTTTTGTTTCTTATTTTTCTAATAATTTGTTTTGTTTTTCCCTCTAATGCAGAAAGGATAGGTATACATGTAGAAGCTTATACATGCCTCTTAACGAGTTTACGAGAATTGATTGTATTAAGCGTGATGATATGAACAGCTCCTTTGAAGAAAAAAAGAGACATTATGGTAGCACAGCTGATTTACTACCATCATGCCAGGAAGTCTAGTAATGCTTTTATTCTTTGTTTACAGTGATTTTTGTCTATCTTGTATTATTTAATTTTAATATATATGAAGTTATCGACAGCTATTTTGATGAGAACAAGAGACCTTAATGTAGCCATTTTGATTTTCCTATGTCTGGTTTTGAAGGCCTGTAATGTTTTCATTCTTCTGTTTTGACCAGTTTTATATTATTTTGTTTTGTTTGAATTCATTGTGTATAAAGGTATAGCCAACACGGGCCAGGGATTTAGCTTGGCGGCACAAGCACCTGCCTGGCAAGCTCAAGGTCATGAGTTCGATCCCCATACAAACAAAACAAAACAAAACAAAACAAAACAAAACAAAGGTATATATATTAAAGAAAACAAGAGACATTTTATGGTAGGCATTGTTGATCTGTTGTCATGCTTTGAAATCCTGTGTCACTTGCATTGTTTTCTTCTGATCTGCTTTGTTCTGTTTTGTTTTACCCTCTTTAAAAAAAAATTTCTTGCTGGATGGTTTCTTACATTCAAATGTTAATGCTGTAAGAATTTATTTGGAAAAAAAAAGAAAAAGAAAAAAAAAAAAAAAAGAATTTATTTGGATTGAAAGTTTAAGGCAAAGGTATAAACTTCACTCTCTACTCCAACTTCTAATTCTAGCAGTTATTCTAACGTCATTTAATTTTTATAAACCTTAAGTTATTTTAATTTTATGCTTTGAAATTTTTTTTTGTACCAGGGATTGAATTTACAACCTTGCACTTGCCAGGCAGGCGCTTATGCCGCTAAGCTATATCCCCGGCCCCATGCTTTGAAATTTAACAAAAGGACTAAATACCACCTCACTATCTGAAAATATTTTAGTTACATTTAAAAGACGAATATCATAAAAACGTTACAGATTTTCATATTTATAATCCTGTTTTCATTTAGGTATTTAAAACATAACTCTTTTTTTTAATTGGTACCGGGGATTGAACTCATGACTGCCTGCTTGCAAGGCAGGCGCTCATGCCGCTGAGCTAAATCCCCAGCCAGGATTTTCTTTTTCATATTGGTTTTAATTATAAAGGATGACTTTCAACCTCCTTCAAAATAAAATCACTTTTTAAAAGAAAAGATTAAGCCTTTTACCTATGGACTAACCCATTAATAGGAAATTTGTGAAGATCACAGGTGTCAGCCTTGTCTTGAATTAAAATGTCTGTTATGTGATAAAATGATGAAGGAACTGTGTCTTCTGTGTCTGTTTTTAAGGTCACAATAGTATATTAAACATAGCAACCGTGACATGGCCATAATTTATAATGTTTATGACTACATGTTAGGTCATGAAGTAGACTGTGTAATTGCAACACATTTTCCACTGGAATGGTCCTACTTTCAAACTGAATTATCTTTCCTCATCTGCTTAAATTTTTTCCTCTTATGAGTCAATATCCTTACTTGTGCACAGTGCTTACAGAAAAGAGTGCTTAACTATAAAACTACTTTGCATCAATTGAACAGAAACAGCACTGATCATAGACAGATTAGAACTAACCTAGGCAGTTAGGAAGTAGCCACACTCACTGCTTCTAACAATTCATGGCAGCAGAAGAGGGTGCTGCTGCTGTCTTAAATGGAAGACTTCATGGTCAGCAAAAGACAAATACTAACCTTCCTTGGAGAAAATATGGAGATGACGAGCTATGGTAAAATATAAAACTCAAAAATACAAGCTTAAAAGTAAACATATGTACCAAAATGTAAACAGTTCACATGTTTACAAGCCCAATCACAGAAGGACCATATATTAAAACAAATAAGCACACCTGCTGACTGACCAGGGGCTGGCTTGCTTTTCTTTTTTGCTTCTGGTAAAGGCTGATACGGTCTCTGTCCCACAGGCTCATCACCTTGGATAGCTGTTAAGTCATGCATACTGAAACTTCTTAAACGTTCAGTTATTGCTCCTTGGCCCTATTTAATAGAGAAGGGGTAAATTCAAGAAAAAAAAAATCAAACTTCAAAATATTTAATATGCTTACTTTCATATTTAAAATATGAAAACACTTTACTATGAAATCCAGTAATATTTTGTTATATTAGTATCTTTCACTATTTTATTATAACATTTTCAGAAAAGTGAAGACTTATATAGTGAATATCATATATTTACACTGTGCTGTATTTGCCTAATCACTTTTCTACTGTTTATCCATCTACCAATACATTTTAATTTCTTATGCATTTCAAAGTCAGTTGTAAACATTAGTATATTTCATGTGAAACATTTCAGCATTATATTTAATTTTAAAATCTAAAAAATTATGAAGAGATCACCCTCATAGAAAAATGCATCCATAATTTTGTGTGGTTTTTTTTCCTTTTTGACACAGGGTCTCACTATGCAGTTCAAGATGGTCTTGAGTTCACTTTGTAGCCCAGGCTGGTTTTGAAATTGTAATGATCCTCCTGCCTCACTCTCTTGTGTGCTGGGATTACAGGCGTGTGCCACCACACCCGGCTATAATTTTGAGTCTTGATTCAATATCTTGGACTAGTGACAATCAAACTAGCACTTTGGAGCTTAAAGTCTATGATTGAAGGAAAACTTTTCAGAGTAAAGACACCTTTTTGTTTTGTTTTGTTTTGTCTTTTTGAGGCAGGGTTTTCCCTATGCAGTCCAGTTTAGTTTGAATTTGAACTCACTTTGTAATCTAGGCTGGCTCCAAATTTGCAGTGATACTCCTGCCTCAGCCTTGTAAGTGCTGGGAGTACAGGCATATGTCACCATGCCCAGCCTACAGACACTGTTTTAAATCAAGTGTGATAATAGCTCTTCCTAGAACAGGAGAGAAAGAGTAGAGTGAAAGAATTCTGGCTATGTAATACTGTAACATTGTTAATGAATTCACTACCTGGTAAGACATGTTTACTACTATAAATCTGTCAGTTATTTTGCCTTAATAATACAGTAGATACTAGGCACAGGTAGATATTTAAATGTAAAATAATTAAAGTGAAAACTTATTTTGAGTATTGCACTAACCATATTCCAAATGTTCCACAGTTACATGTGGCAAATGGACATTACTGATAGAGAATACTTCTCTTGTGGGGTTGGGGATTTAGCTCAGTGGCATAAGTGCCTGCCTTGCAAGCAGGCAGTCATGAGTTCAATCCCCGGTACTGATAAAAAAAAAAAAAAAGAGAGAGAGAGAGAATACTTCTCTTACTGCAGAAAGTTCAGTGATTCTCATCACTACCCTTTGAAAGGGACACTGTCTGAATTTTCTAGATATGTCTACATTCCCCTCCAAAACTATAAAGTTATAATAGTTTCTAAATTTACTCATTTTAAATTTGCATAGCATACAGATGACTCCTTTCTTATTTATAGCTAGATTAAAAGTATTCTATGAATTTGTGATTGCCTCTAGTGATAATATTGCCATAGAAACTCATCTATAATGGTTCATTGCTAAATTGCAAAGTCAAAGGCATTACAAACATTTGGGTGTTACTGCTAACTTGTACAGTTTTAGAGTGAGGAAAAAAGGTCTTGACTCAGTATAATAGTTTACTGATAACATAATGTATTATGTTAAAACCAAATGCTATTTCCATACCCTACTTGTGCTGTGTATTTCTACCATGGTTTTGAACTGTAATTAGAAATTATTAAAGGGTCTATTTCTCCATAAATATAATTGGATTCCACACATTTTAAAAAAAATGTTCTTAACACAGTTCAATTCATTATACTTGCTTCCTCTTTATCAGCTATCATTTACTTATTGAACAGATGGCTGACAGGACACTTCAGAGACACAGTGACCAGTGCTCACATGAAGCAGATGCCTTGTTTTCTCAAAACTGTCATTTTTTGGGGCTGGAGATTTAGCTCAGCGGCATAAGTACCTGCCTTGCAAGCAGGCGGTCGTGAGTTCGATCCCCAGTACCGATAAAAATGAAAAAGACAAAAAAAAAAAAAAAAACTGTCATTTTTTTCTTTCTTTTTTTAGAACCGCCATTTTCTTCATCTCAGCTTTGTGTCCTTTCTCAGCCTCAGTCTCCCTCTCCCTTGCTCTCTCTGTCTCTCACTGGGGATTGAGCCCAAGGTGTTACACATGCTGCAAAAGCATCCTACCCCTCAGGTACACTCCCAGTCCTCTCAGCAATTCCTGTTTTTTAATCTGAGGTCACATACATGAAAATGTGACCCATCCCAAAGGCTCACGTGTTATAGGGTTGGTCCCCAGCCCATGGCACCATTAGGAAGTAGAACTTTTAAGAAAGGGTATAGTGGGAGGAAGTTAGATCATGTGGGGGTCCCTTGAAGGGGGTACTGGAATCCTTATCTTTTCCTTCCTGTCTTTGCTTCTGGTATTACAAAGTGAGCAGCTTGCTTTACCCCTATATGCTGCCTTGGAATAGGCCCAAGCCGCTCTGAACTGAAACTTGTAAAACTTTAAGCCAAAACAAATGTTTCCTCTTTTTAAGTTGATTATGTCAAATATTTTGGTAAGGTGACAGAAAAGCTGATTAACATGCTATGATACCCTCCACCTGACTCAGGTGTAATTTCCAAGTCTAGTTGTAATTCCCAAATGCTCTCAAGAAAGTACATCTTGGATGGGACCTTGTGACACATGCTTATAATCCCAGCACTCTGAGTGACTGAGGCAGGCAGATTCCAAGTTTCAGCTCATGGGAGAAATTTAGTTAATTAATGAGACTGTCTCAAAAAAGGACTAGGTATGTAGCTCAGTGTAAAGTAACTGGGCTCAATCCACAGTACTACAAAAAGACAGGGCGGGGAAGGGAGGAAAAGAGACAGAGATAGGGAGGGAGGGAAGTGTATGTATCATCTGCCTTGGTGCCTTTAATAATTACAACTAGTGAACATCAGAACCTACTTCACAATTGAACTCACAAAGTACTGCTACTTTATTGTTGCACTGTGTTTGTCTCCAGGGCAAAGTCAAAGATATTATAGTGGTTTACTGTCAACACTGGAGGGATTTTTTCTTTCTTTTTCTTTCCAGTACTGGGGATAGAACCTAGGGCCTTTGCACTGAGCGACATCCCAAGCCTTTATGAGAATTTTGAGACAGGGGCTCAACTAAGTTGCTCAGGCTGGGCTCCCTGTGAGCTTCTTGCCTCTGACTCCCAGAGTGCTGCGACTTCTGGAGTGTGCCACAACACTGACACTTATACACAGGATTCAGCTGCAAAACACAGGCACAGGTGATGGGCATTCCACGGGTAGACTACACCATTCACCCAGACTTTCCCACAGGTTAAGAGTGGAAAAGGTACAACTGTTAGGTATTTGTGACATTTATTTGTTGTGTGAATTCTAATTTAGTTTCTGAGTAATCATAATCCTATCATTTCCAATATTTAATGATTATCAATGCCCTCAAGACTTTCAGGAAGGCTAATACAATAGGGAAAACAAGAAGATGATGTGAACCTTCTTTGAGGATCCCCAATACTTCAAAAGGTATTATTGTCTTGGAAAACTGCAGAATCTTGGAAAACTGTATTATAGTTGATGAGAACTACAGTTTTAGTACAGTTTTAGTAATCTAAGAAGTTTTGTAAGTTAGGTTACACCCCTTCCTTCTACACATTAACATTCTATAGAAAATTAATGTTTAGATAAATCAATGTAGATGGTCTGCTCAAAATCTTACAGTTAATTAGTGGCAGAATCAGACCTAAACAAATAACTTCACTGCTTCAGAATCCAGTTGGGGAAAATGGTATGAACTTTCCATCTGAAAAATATTCTTTCTTTCTTTTTTTTCTTTTTAAGGTACTGGGGGCTGAACCCATGGCCTTACATATACTGGGCCAGGCCTGCACCACTGAGCTTATCCCCAGCATATTTATTTATTGATACACGGTTTCACTAACTGGCCCACAATGGCCTCAGACTTGCAGTCCTCCTGCAGGCATGTGTCATCATGCCTGGCAAACATTCTTTCTCTCTCTTTTTTTTTTTTTTTGGTCTTTTTCGTTTTTATAGGTACCAGGGATCGAACTCACGACTGCCTGCTTGCAAGGAAGGCGCTTATGCCGCTGAGCTAAATCCCCAGCCCCAAACATTCTCTTTTTAAGGAGAAGATACGAAAGTAGTAATATTTTTTAATCTTTTCACAGCCAGAAAGCCATTAAAATAGCAAGATGTCAAGTTTTTGACTGGATCATTTCAAGTTAAATTATATTTCAGGAAGTTTACCAGAAAAAGTAACTTCTTTGCTCGGTTTTTATGTCTGCTAGAGAGTTTACCAAGAAAGAGCTGCCAGAGAAAATTCAGAGACCAGTAGTACTTTTCTTTACCTGTCCTTTATGTGGCAGGACTGCTCATCTGGACAAAAGTCACCTGCATTTTCTCATGTGAAAAGCTATGGAATGCTGAAAGTCCTCAGCAAAATCCTTGAAGTGCTTCATAAATATACGCTTTGCTCAGCCAAAATACAGCTGCACACTGACCTTGTGAACAGATGCCTGGTAAAGAGGTCAGAGAACTGAGCAACATTTTCAAAAAACTGCTTTGTGCTGTAATAAGTGTTCCGATTAGATTCCTGATTTCATCGTTATCATGCTCAGGTGGTTTAACCCGGGAAACTTACTCATGGGTATTACTGTACTTTTTTGGGGGATGTACTGGGAATCAAACTCAGAACCTCACATTTGCCAGGCAGATGCTGTAGTGCTGTTATATCCCTGGCCCTATCATACTTTAAAGGTTATATCATAGACCAAGAGTTTCTTAATCTGAAAGATACACACACACACACACACACACACATACATATAAATACTGTGTTTATTTTGAAGTTACTGAAATTACTTTTATCTCTGGAGATATCAGGAAACAATACTGTCATAGAAGAATCACTCAGCCAGATACTTCATACCCATGAGTAAATTGAAATACAAATAGGAAGTAGGTCAAGTTTAAGAGGAAATTCCTAAAAAGTTACTAGTAAGACTTGAGAATTATTATTATTTTTGAGACAGTTTTACTGTGTAGTCCAGATTGGTCTTGAACTCAGTATGCAACCCAGGCTGGCCTCAAACATGTACAAATCTTCCTGCTTCAGCCTGGAAGCTGGGATTACAGGTGTGTATCACCACACCTAGTGCTGAAAGGTATTTTTCACAAACTGTACATTATAAAATTTTAAAATCATTCTCAAGCTGTGGCCCATGCATGCCTGTAATCCCAGCACTTGGTAGGATAAGGCAGGATGATTGCTGTGAGCTCAAGGCCAGCCTGACCTTGGCAGATTTAATGACTACTTCTAATGAATAAAATAGACTCCAGGATGGGGTCTCTAACATTCTTGTATGCACCATAATAGTGAAGGCTACCTCATATCAGAGATCTTTTTTTTGGTACTAGGGATCAAACTCACAACCTCACACTTGCCAGGCAGGCACTTATGCCATGGAGCTAAATCCCCTGCCTCTGTATCAGAGATCTTGATAAAAGAATCTTGACATCACTAGGAAGACAATTCCAAAATCAATTTCAGTTATGAGATATATGTTTTGCAGTAGTAATTTAGATGATTTTTTATGCTGTCTGCTTTGTGCCTTTAGGGATGGAGAAAAGACTTTAAGGTGTAAAATATATTTCTAAAATCAACCAGAAAAACAAAAACTAGAGAAATACAGTAATTTTTTAAAATAAAAAATCTTTCTCTTAGGTAATATTTAATTCAATCATGGAGGGTGTTGGTTGTCTCCCCGCAACAAAGAATGAGATAACATTTTCAGTTAGTGAATACAGACATTAGCTATCGTCAGACAGTAACCTGTGAAGACAGGGACTCTTATCTTTTTAACTTCTGATGAAGTTCCCATCATCTATTCTATTGAAGACATTAAATAAATGGTATATAGGGATGCTAAATAGTGATTGAAGACAAGTATACAACATATTGAGAGAATAAGGATAAAATAATACAGTGAGGACTGCTGATTCTCATATATGATACGGAAGTAGTAAACCTAAGTCAAAACAAAATAAGTAGCTCCCTAAATAGTCACAATATGTAGAAAGGTATGTCTCGCAATAGCAGGATTACAAACCATGTTTAAATGCTAAAGTAGAGAGGAAAAAAGAATTTTTTTCCATCTTTAGTAAAATGATGACCTAAAATACGCAAGTTGAAATTGAATTTTCAGTTTTTCTCCACAGAATCATGTTGATTATGATTATGAAACATCCAGAAATCATCTTCATTTGGGTGAAAATACATGTGTGTGGTTTGCTGATAAAGTAAAAAAATGCTCAATTTTATAACTAATGGAAAACAAGCTTTTATTTTTTCTCTTCATATAGCCACAGAGATGACCAATGAAAACCGTCTGCTTTCCCCTGTGACAGATGAGGACTTTAGTCCTCTTGCACCTCCTTCTTCCCTCTCTTGTCCTCCCAACACAGCAACATCACAGTTGTTCAATTCCTTTTGTTCTCACTGATACTACATAGATGCTGTAATCAAACTAATGACCTCGTGTTTGCCAGGCAGGCGCTTATGCTGCTGAGCTAAATCCCCAGCCCGATAGTGCCTTTCTTATATAACTTTTGTTTTTCCCAGAGTTAATGGTTATGCCTTTTTAACCCAATTTGTTTAGTCACCCTACCCTCCTTCTTTACATTGATTCAGACACATTTTTCATGGTGTTCAAGGCTTATGTGTAGCTGCATTGGGACCAGCTGTCCCAGTATACATAGAGTGTGCCAACTGGTCATGCTACGTGCTCTGGCTGGTTTCACTATCTTCCCTGCATAGTATTAAATCTTTTATGTCTCTCATAACATATTCTTCCCAGAGAAATCCTTTGTCACTTTTTATCTGATACGCAGTGGGCTGTAGTTTGCACTTTGTCCTTGGTGCACGATACCCTTTCTTGGAATTCTGTCATTACCTATTGTGGTGGATAACCTGCTTCCAGGATCCCTTTGGATTTTTTTTTTTTTTTTAATTCCCTAGCTTTGGCAGCACAAACCTGCCTTGACAAAGTATTTATAGTAGGTAAAATCTGTAACTTTATATATGTCAAAGTAAAAATACTGCTCAGAATTCACATATGATTCAGAGCTCTACCACTGTGGGACCTGAGGCGAGGTTCATGGGTGGTTGTCTCCAAACTTCTACTGTCACCATTTAGAAATGTAATTCCATTCTGATTCTAGGTCATTTGAATGTAATATTCTTTTTTTTTGCCTCACCAGAATTAAGCTCTTAATTCATCCTTTTTTTGGGAACCGGGGATCGAACTCACAACTTTGCACTTGCCAGGCAGGCACTAATGCCACTGAGCTAAATCCCTGGCTCTTGAATGTAATATCCTCTTAACCCTGGAAATTTTAGGATTCTCTCTTTATTTTTGGTGTCTTGGGGTATCCAAAGACTTCAGTAAGAGTTGGTCATTATTTTCATTCATTGTGCTGGGAACTGTGTGGCCTTTTCTAATATGGAGACTATGTTCTTCCTTCACTTCCAGAATGTTACTGGAATATTACTGTATTGTTTCTTTTTTTTTTTCTTGGTGTTTGTATTTTTTTTTTTTTTTTTTCTCTTTTGGGGATTCTTTTTTTTTTTTTTTTTTTTTTTTAGATTTTTTATTTTTCAGTTTTGGTGCTAAGGTCCGAACCCAGGGCTTCCAGCTTGCTAGACAAGTGTTCGATCCTGAGCTAAATCCTCAGGCCCTCTTTTGAGGATTCTTAGCTATTCAATATTGGATCTTTTGGATGATCCTTTTTTGGCAGTTATAGAAACCAAGAAAGCATTTTTATTAACCTGAAAATTTTGCTATTTTAGTATTTATTAAACCTAGCTTTAAAAAAAGAAACTTTAATAGGGAAACAGTATGGGAGTGTAGCTCGCTGCTATAGTACTTGTAAAAGTGTCCTAGATTCAGTCTCCAGTTCTACAAAAACAACAATGAAAAATAACCAGCTGTTACACATATAGAAATATTTGTACATATTTAGTGAATAAATTTCCATTTAATTTTCACTATAACACTGCTAGGTATGTACAGTAGTAATTTTGTTCTTTGACCTTGTTGATTATATTAATTTTGACATGTGTGCCAAAGATGTCTGCTAAGTCAAAGCAACCTCATTATATATTCCTTCACCATTGCAGTTATATAAGGTTACCTCTTAACTGGACTCTTTCTTTCCATAGCATTGTTATTTTAGCTCACAATAACTCAAAGAGCTTGATTTGAAAGCTGAATACTATTTACTCTCAATGTAACTTAACAGCAGTAAATTCAAATGTTTACTTTATGTGAAACAGAAACAAGATATTAATGTTTATAGGACTTTCATGATACAGAAGCAAGCACTATACTTTTATCTATGCTCTTACCAATGTGTCTTGCCTCGATTTATATACGAAGCAAATAGCACAGAAATTAAGTAAATTGCCTGTGGTTACTTAGAAAGTCACACTCAGCATTTTCTGGATATGAAGCCTATTTTCTTTCCATATACCACACACTAAAATCAATTATGCTATGGTATTTAAAATAAACCACACCAATTACTACATGCAAAGAAATCCAAAAGCTATAATGCAATTTTTCCATAGGAAGCAATGGCTTGCAAACACAGCAAATAACATTAGTAACTGACGAATTACGATTTTAAGTTTTAAGAACAGAATATTTTCATGCTTTATTTTGAATAATCAGTTACCTCAAATTGATTGAAGTAGAGGTGCAGAAGAAAGCCAGAAATCCTACCAAGACAGTGCCATCGAGAGAGAAAACACCAAAGACAGAGAAAGAAGAATGGTCACCTTTACTTATTCAGACTATCTCAAGGTTAAAAGGTGGGAAAGTTATGACAAAATGACATTTTTAGGTATGTTTTATGTTTAACTAATTCTTACTTTGTAATCAACTAAGAGTTTCAAATATTGAATGTTTAAGAAAAACAATGTTCAAATATTTCTAAAACTACTCACTTCTTATTAGAATAAACATGCAAAACCCTATCACTATTTTATGATGGTCTAAAACAAAAAAGCCACCTTTCTTTATCTGTAGATTTAATGTGACAGTAGATAAAAAAAGATACATAAAAAAAATTACCTTCACTGCTGCAGTGACAGCAGCAGTAGCTGCTAGGTTTAAACCTTGTCGCCCAAAGTTGACCATAGTTTCATAGCCTCGTTCCTTTGCTTGGACAATATAATCATCAATTTCCTGTGGAAACCAAAATAAAAACAACCAGAGATTTTAATTTTATTTTAAACAGTGCTAAGAAGCCAAAAAATAGGACTTTTTTTTTTTTTTTTTTGGTACCGGGGATCAAACTCATGACCTTGCGCTTGCCAGGCAGGTGCTTGTGCCACAGAGCTAAATCCTCAGCCCCTGGGTTTTCTTACGTTATAGTAGTTTCATAATATAAAGTATATATCCGAAAACATTTCTAAAACACAATTCGTGAAGATAATTTATATATCTTACCCTTTCTTTTGAAGAAAGAAGTGGGTGAAGGAATTTTTTATATATTAAACTTGCTCCTTTAGTATGGGGACAGAGCAGCCATATGACAAAGGCAATCTTCAGCTCGTAGTACAAGGGAAACCTAATAGGAAAGCAGCAGGAAAAGAAAAAAAGGAAAAAAACTGCTGGTGAAAAGTAAAACTACAAACAATGTGGGAATCACTTTTAAAGAAATTCAGTCATTGTGTTCAGTTTCCATATTTAAAACTTAGTGATCAGGGAAACAATCATGATGGACTTGACAAATTATCTTAATCTTGGGTGAATTAACCAAAGAGTGAACTGATATCCACAGAGATTCATACCTTCTGGTATAAGATTATTCCTTTGGTACAAGTACAGGCAAGCTGCTAAAGTATAACAGTAGGAAAGGGCATTAATAGCATTTAATCGGGGGCATGGTGGCACAGGCCTGTAGCCCCTGCACTTGGGAGGTTTAGGTAGGAAAATCGAGAGTGAACTGTTACAGAAATACATGACATACCTCCAGACACCAAGGCACAACATTAAATGCACAATGTTTGCCGCAGATGCACATTTCCTGATCTTTCTGGCAACTTCCAGAAAACTTGCTTTCCAATCTCATCTGGACAGCACTTCAAATTGTACTTGGAATTGAAAGGGAATTAGCATGGAGGTAGACTAGGAATTAGGGTTTAACACTTCTGGTCTTTTCCATGTGACTTTGCAGCACCTTCCCAGTAGACAGAACACACTTCCCCAACCAATGATTATATCTAGTCATGTGGCTTGTGTTAATCAACAGAATGAGACAGCGAAACATGTTACATGCAAGCAGGACAAAAAACAAAAAACAAAAAACAAAAAAAATGAGAAGATTTAAAAAAAAAATTTGAAATGTGAAAACATCTAGCATGGTTTTGGGATCTGTGTTTCACCACTTAGAAATAAAAAGAGAATTCTTCCTCAAACCTCTACTCAAAAAATATAATGAATGGATTTGGGATATAAGGATATATATATATATATATATATTTTTTTTTTTTTTTTTTTTGTCTTTTTCCTTTTTATCGGTACCAGGGATCGAACTCACGACTGCTTGCTTTCAAGGCAGGTGCTTATGCTGCTGAGCTAAATCCCCAGCCCCGGAAAATATATTTCTTTTTTTTTTTTTCTTTTTTTTTTTTTTTCGGAAAATATATTTCAAGTAAGATGGGGGCCTATAAAAGGTACAGAGTAGTGCTTATTCCCACTCCCCCCTGTCTCATCAAAATAAAACAGAAAGACAGTTGCAGACATCAAGAAATTCATAAATAAGGATAGATTATTATGTTTAAGTCTGATGACTTCTATTTTTGTTCCTAGAAAATCCAATAGGGCCTAATATGCTATGAGAATATGAGAATGGCAAAGAGGCAAAGAGCTCAGAGAGCACAGTAAAGGTATGATGTGGACACACAGGGGAATAGATGCTGCATGTGACTAAAAACAAATATACAAGAAACGGTGAAGTTTAAGTGATGCCTGTAAGTGCTGTTGAGTGATTTTTGGGGGGCTGTATTTAGTAGCCCGGGTAAAGAAATAAAGAACAATAATTTGGTTAACTTAGGCTGAGGCTTATGTGGCTTGAGGTACTGAAGACTGGCAAGGTCATAATTAAATATTATAAAAAGAGGACTTCTTCAAGTGATACCAGGGTTTCGACAGAAATGCAGTACTACATACAGCACAAAGACATTTGAATTGTCCCATTACGCACTGGACAGATGTTGAATCTCCAAGGAAATAAATATGCTTTAATTTTGCTTCATGCAATTTGGAACAGGGCAGCCAAGGAGCTGATGTGAAGTGGATGATGACACGCATGTTTTCCAGTCTGAATGTCTGTAGATAAGAATATTAAGCATGGAGAGGAAATGGTAAAATCAGAAGTTGTAGGCTTCAGAAGAGAAGTCACTTAGGCAGTGATCAAGAAAAAAACGTCTGAAGTCATCGGTGTAGAAAAGGGATGATGCCAGCCAAGTTTCTCTACTCCAAGGTCCTGGGGAGAGAGTGTGGGAGGTGGGTAGAGGGTGGCACATGGGAACAGAGTGAACTGTGTTCCTGCAGGGGCGGGGGCTACACAAAAAGCAGTGTGTGTAGAGGAAAGCAGATGAAGAGGGGAGATGCTGGATAACTGATGATTTGAAGAAATTCACTTAGTTACTAACAAGAGCAGGATAAAAACTCAGGACATAAAAACGAGAGTGTGGGCCTGTTAGCGGAACTTACCAAGCAACTGTGTGATCTGCTATAGTTTCAATCACAGTGTACAGAGCAAAAACGATCCAGTACATCATCCAGCGAACCTGAAAATAAGGAAAATACTCATAAAACAATGAACTGTAATTATTTGCAACTCTGAATAATTTTATAGGTAATAGTTCAGTTCTCAAGTTTTTTTTTTTAAATTTTAAAGACAACTCCACCCACCAAATTTCAAAACATAATTAGATGGTAACAATGGTCAATACACAATGTATTGTTATCTTTAAATTAGTTACTCAGAGTACAAGATATCTGCATTTAGGGCCGGGATTTAGCTCCTGCCTGGCGAGTACGAGGTCATGAGTTTATTCCCAGTACAAATAAATAAATAAATCTGCATTTGATTGTCCAAGTAATATTAGCACAAATCTCTTTTAAATGAACCAAGAGAAATTAATAGTATAACTAACTTAATCTTTTATATATATACAAACATATATACATATACATATATTATTTCTTTCAACTTCTCGCACTAGAGCAAAAATACAATATTTACACATTTGAGTCTGATTTATTTCACTTATTAGTATGGTCTCGATTTGCATCCATTTACCTATAAAAGTCTCTAGTTTATCCTTTTTCATACCTGAGTAGCACTCCATTGTATAAAAATACCATATCTGTTTTATCTATTCCTCAGTCACTGGGCATTTAGGTTGTTTTCAAGCTATGACAAACTGTGCTGCTATAAACATGGGTGCACCATATATGGCTGTGGTATTATGTTTTTAATTCTTCTGGGAAAATACTCAAAAGGGGAATATTTGGGTCAAACAGGACCTCCAATTCTAGTTTTTTGAGGAATCTTCACAGATTTCAGAGTGGATGCACCAATAGTGGAGAAGGTTACCTTTCCCCCCACAGCCCCTGCAATATTTATAGTTATTGGTTGACTTATTGATAATAGCCATTTTTTCTGGAGTGAGGTGTTGTTAGTTTCCAGGTTTTTATGTTTGAATGCCTTGCATCATTACATCAACAGTCTTAAGATAAATGAATCAAAGAACCTCTGGGCCTTCCTACAATATTATTTAGCAACCTACATCAAAGAGTTGGAAAAATATGAATTGTTTTTTTTAAACTGGAGGAAAGCTCTTTAAGCTATGTTATCTACAAATTTACTGATGATTACTAATTATATATTATTACATAAATAATATAGTAAAATATGATACAAGTACATCTCATCTTTATTAGCATATAAAATTAAGTATTTGGTTTTTTATTTTAAAAAGTAACATAAAAGGCTAAAAATGAAACAGAATTTCAAGACAAAAATAGGAAATTAACACTAATAATACATTGCATGTTGTCATCTTCAAAATAGTTGTTCAGATTACAAGATTTAGGCATGAAAACAATGATCAAACAAACAATGAAAACAAACCGATCTGTGTGATGAACTAACAAGTATTAGTAGTATAGTTATCTATTTTGTGTGTGTGTGTGTATATATGTAATCTTTTCCCTTCTATCTTTTCTATTTTCCCCCATCCCAGTTGTTCTTTCCTTTTCATTTTCACAAGCTCTATTGTATATTTTGGATCTTATTTACTTTTTTTTTTAAACACTAGGGAGACAATATGATGTTTACATTTGTGAGTCTAATATATTTCACTTATGAGGATGGTCTTAAATTGCATCCATTTACCAATAAAACCTCATGTTTATCATTCACTATAGCTGAGTAATACTCTATCATATAAAAATATCATTTTTTAATCTATTCCACAGTTGGCAGCCATTTGAGTTATTTCTAAGATATAACTATTACAAGTCATGCTGTTATAAACATGGGTGCACATATATTGCTGTGGTATGATGTTCAGTTCTTTTGAGAAAATACCCAAAAGGGGAACAGAGGGATTGAATGGGACCTCCAATTATAGTTTTCTGAGGAATCTCCACGCTGATTTCCACAGAGGTTGCACCATTCTACACTTCCACCAACAGTGGAGAAGTGTTCCTTTTCCTCATAGCCCTGCCAACATTTGTTATTGGTAGATTTCATCATGGCAGTCATTTTTCTTGAAGTAAGATGGAAACTCTGTGTTGTTTTAATTTGCGTTTGTCTAATGACCTGTGATGTTGAACATTTCTCCTTTATTTTTTTTTTCTTTCTGAGACAAGGTCTCACTATGCAGTTCAGGCTGGCCTTGAGCTTGCAATGATCCTCCTGCCTCGGGATTACAGGCGTGTGCCATCATACCTAGATTTCTTCATGTATTTAATTCTCACTGGTATTTCTTCATCTGAGAAGTACGTATTCATCTCAGATGCCCATTTTTAGATTGGGTTTTTGAATTTGAGGGGCCTGATGTTTTTCAATTTTTTATATGTTCTAGTATGTCCTTTGACTGAGGGACTGTTGGGTAACGTTTTTCTCATTCTGTGGGATTTTTCACTGTTAGCGATTTCTTTTGATGTGCAAAAACTGTTTAATAAGATATTTCAAAACCCTAGGTTTTTTTTTTTTTAAACTGGGGGTCAAACTTGCAACCTCACACATGCCAGGCAGGTGCGCTAAATCTCCAGGCCTAGTTGTTGATTCTTTGAAGTATTTCCCATGTGGCTTGTGTTTTGTTCATGAACTCTTTGCCTACTCTTTTGTCTTGAGATTTCTGCCTAACTAGTCTGCCGGGAGATGTGGTGTTTTCTTTTAATATTTAGATCTTTGATGCATTTTGACTTTAGTTTACTACATGGTGATAGACATGGGTCTAGTTTTAGTCTTTGGCATGTGGAAAGCCAATTTTTGCAGCACCATTTATTTAAGAAACTATCTTTCTTCCAATGAATGTGTTTGGGCCCTTTATCAAAGATAAGGTGGCTAAAAGTGTTTGTAGTACTATCTTCTAATCTATTCCACTGATCTTCAGGTCTGTTTTTATTTCAGTACTATGCTGATGTTATTACAGTAGCTTTATGGTATAATGTCAGGTCGGGGATTGTGATGCCTCCTGCCTTGCCTTTGCTGCTCTGAATTGCCTTTGCTATTCTAGATCTTTTCTGGTTCCAGATAAATTTTAGGAATGATTTCTCTAAATCTATGAGGTATGTTAATGATATTTTGATTGGAACTGCATTAAATTTGTATAAGTTTTCAGAGTATGGCTATGTTCACAACGTTGGTTCTTCCTATCCAAGAGCAAGAGATGTATTTCCATATTCTGATATCCTCTTCAATCTCCTTTTTTAGAGTGCTACAGTTTTCTTATAAATATATTGATCTTTTACATCCTTTGTTAGATTGATTCCAAAGTATTTCATTTTCTTCAATGCTATTATGAAAGATGTTACCTCTGTAATTTCTCTCAGTGAGTTTACTGTTTGTATATAAGAATGGCTATTGAATCAAGTGTTGACTTTGTACCCAGCTAAACTACTGAATTTGCTTATGAACTCTTAAGTCTTTTGGTGGAGTTTTGGGGGGTATGCTATGTAAAGTATCATGCCATCTGCAAATAATAATTTTTCCTTATTCCTTTCTTGTTCCTGATTTTGGAGTGAAAGGTTTCAGTTTTTGTCCATTTAGTATAATGCTGGCTGTTGGTTTGTCATGGATGGCTTCTATCAGATTGAGGTACAGACCATCTATTCTGCTTTCCTGTAGTTTTTTTTTTTTTATCGTGAATGAGTGTTGAACTTTATCAACAGCTTTTTTGGCACCCATTGAGATGATCATGTGATTTTTGTATTTGGCTCTGTTGATGTGGTATATTACACTTATTGATTTGTGTATGTTGAACCATCCCTGAATTCTTGAGACGAAATACACTTGGTCATGGTGTATGATCTTGATGATTTGCAGCATTTTGCTTGCTGGTATTTTATTGATAATTTTTGCATCTATGTTCATTACGGAGATTAGCTTGTAGTTCTCTTTTATAGTTGGGTCTTTGCTTTTGGCATCAAAGTAAAGTTTGCCTCCAGAAATGAGTTAGGGAGAATTGCTTCCTTTTCAATTTCATCAAAATGTTTGAGGAGTATTGGCATTTAGTCTTCTCTAGATTTCTTGTAGAATTCAGCTGTGAAGCCAGGCATGGTGGTGCGAGTCTGTAATTCCAGTACTCAGGAGGCTGAGGCAGCAGGATCATTGCAAGTTTGAGGGCAGCCTGGGCTACAAAGTGAGCTCAAGTTCAGCCTCAATACATAGTGAGACCCTGTCTCAAAAAGATAACAAACAAACATCAGCTGTGAATCCATTAGGACCAGGGCTTATCTTTGTTGGTAATTTTTCAGTCACATTTTCAATTTCAGTAACTGATACTGGGTTATTCAAAAATTTTTTAATCTTCTTGATTCAGTGTTAATAATTTATATATTTCTAGAAATCTGTCCATTTCTTCTGTATTTTCCAGACTATAGGAGTAAAAATTTTCTAAGTAGGTCTGGATGATTTTCTGAATTTCCACAGGATCTGTAGTGATTTAACTCTTTTCATTCCTCATTGAATGAATTTGAGGTTTTTCCCCCCTTTTCTTGATTAGGTTAGGAAGGGCTGGGGGTTTAGTTCAGAGGTGTAAGTGCCTGCTTGGCAAACACGAGGTCATTAGTTCAATTCCCAGTACAAAAAAAAAAAAAAAAAAAAGGCTAGGGATTTATCAATTTGGTTTATTCTTTCAGAGAAGCAACTCAACTCACTCCTTGTATTGTTTTCTTAGTCTCCATTGCATTAATTTCTGCTGGATATTTATAATTTCCTCCCTTCTACAAGCTTTGGTCTTGACTTGTTCTTTTTCTGGAAGGTTGAGGTGCAGAATTAGATTGTTTATTTGTGCTCATTCTGTTTTCCTCAGGCCCCCCCCCCTTTTTTTAACCGTACCGGGGATCGAACTCACGACTGCCTGCTCACAAAGCAGGTGCTTGTGCCACTGAGCTAAATCCCCAGCTCATTCTGTTTTCCTGATGTGAGAATTCATTTGCTATATATTTGCCTCTTAGGATCATTTCCACTGTGTCCCACAGGTTCTGGTATGTTGTATCTGCACTTTCATTGGATTGTAGATATTGTTTAGTTTCTTCTTTAATTTCATCT